TAGGTAGACGATTTCCCATATTATGTATTTCCAGTGTGGTGCTAACCCACAAACCCTGTTTGTCTCTACTGGATTCTTTCCTTTTTTAGCTTTTTCCTCCAGAGGCAGAAAATATGTATTCATAAAATTGAAATGAACTCTTTTATATAATGAATTTAAACAGAAGGTATCATCCCTATAAATTTCACCTTTACTACAAGAAACTAAAAAGTCCCCAAATCTTTAAGCCCTTAATACATGCTATAAGTGGAAAAAAAAATAATGGACTGTACTATATTCTAACTTACCCATACAGTTAATAAAATTTATGACTACTTTATGAAATCACTTATTAAATCAAATTAATTAGCTTACATCTCAAATATCTAATGTAATTATCCAAGTAATTTAAAGTGGGGGAAATCTCATCAGTTGTCCATTTAAAAACAGCAAGCAAGTAATCTTGGTTGATGTGTAGCTAGTTACAATATCAAGTAGGTATTCCCCTTCTTCTTGTTTTCCTGAAGAAAAGTTATTAAAACTGAAACACTTTCACTTGCTTTTATAGGTAAAGAGGTGAAATCCAAATGCCAAAGGTCAGAGGTCAGAAGCAGTCACATTATTCTTGCTGTCAAAGACTGACTTTTGGAGGCAGGGCACAGGAGAGAAGCAAATCACATTTTAAAAGCCTGTACTCAAACTGGGGCATATTATGTCCTTGCTATATTGGCCTGCTATAGTTACAACACAATATGGTCAGCTATTATCCAAAACACACGATAGAGTGTTACAGCAAAAACAGACTGCTGACATGAGCATTTAATTTACTCTTGACTCCCAATACACCAAACAGCTATTCCCTCCATTAGATGTTGTGATAAGCAAAACTGTAATTCCAAATTAAACTCAACATTTAGTGCATGTACTAATATTATGTCAGTGATATTTTGGGGCATGATTTTGTTAACTAAGCAAATCACTCAAGAGTCTCATAAAACAGAATCAGATCTAAGATAAATTGAGATTTCATGAATAAATGGTTTTTAGAAATGAGAATACAACACATACAGTCACAGTGCTTTACAATTAGCTGCACCATCACTGTGGCCCAGCAGAAAACTCCTTTAAAGCAACTGCATGTCTGATAGTAAAGAGTGGAGATTTAAAGGAGTTCAGGTTAATTTTAAATGGTCTAATGATATATCTTCCGTTTAAATGATTTTTGAATGGGATCTAAATGAGTGTGGCACTACCAATCAGAGAGGTTGTAAAAGGCTTCTGCATTAGATGGGAGGTAAGGCAAGACACCCAAGAAGTCATTTCCAATCCCACAAATGTATGGTCCAGAGTGTACATGAACTGTATTGACCAAATACAGCCCTAGAACAGTATTTTTCTGTTTCACATGTCTGAGAGCATCTTACACTGCTGTATGCCAGTTGTCAGAACTTGAGCATAAGCATCACAATTTGCAAAAACTGGTGTCAGCAGCCTGGAAAAATCCCAGGAACAGCAGTGGAGCAATCATTTCAGGAACGCTTTCGCCAAGGCTTTGATGGCACAGAATATGATGTGAGGAAAAACAAGGACAGCAAGACCCTGAGTCAAGAAGTGATTCAGAAGAACTAGACCCAATGTGAGCCGGTTTTTAAGAAGATCTTAACCCTGGGGTTCTCACTATCAGCACGTTGACATTTTGAGCCCGACAATTCTTTGTTCTGGACAGAGACAGAGGTGAGAGCTGTCTTGTACACCAGGATGGTTAGTAGCATTGCTGGCCTCTACCCACTAGATACCAATAACACCTGACAGGTTGTGACAGCCAAAAATGTCTCCAGACACTGTCAGATATCTCCTGGGGACCAAAATCTCCCCCAATGCCTTAACCTATTTATTTTGCTTACATTTTTCCCTTTTTGAATATGCAAGTGATGTTTTTTAAAAAAATCAAAGTCATGCTTAATGAGATCTTTCAATAAGAAAATTCTAAGAGATAAACTATTGTGTTACAATTTGCAGCAATTTTTTTCTTGTGGTACATCAAATACAATGCTTCTTACAATCAATGGCCTCTTCAATTCAATGAAATTCAGCCACCCAACATCTTTTTCTTTTTGTTATGGAATGCTTATCCTGATTTTCTTTTGAGTAAGTACTTCTTAGTAGTAACTTAGTAGTAACCAGTTCTTCCCTAGCTGGGGTTCTCTAGTCTTTCTTTTGATTCTTTTGAGCTTTCCAAAATGCTTCTAAAAATCCCCTTGCTTCCTAAGTTAACCAGAGTTAAGTTTCAATCTTTCAACCAAAAAATCCTGACCGAAACAAGGTTCTTATTTAAGCTACCCTAATAAAAGACATTTCAGAGTATTTCCCTGCCACAAAGTTCACCTGTTAAAACTGTTACTGCTTCTCCTTACCACTCACCACATAGGTAGAGTGAGTAGGGGTATGTATAGATGACACAAGGATTGCTGAAACAGTGGCACAAGGAACCCTCTAAAACTGCTTACAAGGCTTCATTCAATTAAAGCAACAGATAAAATCTATAATAATAAAAGTGTAATATGCTAATTAGACCAGACTGCTGAACGACCTTCCAGACGTCATTCCAGACATCCTTCTGGATGAACCCGTGATGGTGAGGGCCGAGGCAGAAGCAGTTAGGGGTGATCAGGCAGGCAGGCAGAGTGGTTAGGGGCGATCAGGCAGGCAGGCAGGAGAGCATTTAGGAGCCAGCAGTCCCAGATTGCGAGAGGGATGTCCGACTGCCGGATTAGTTGGACATCCCCCGAGGGGTCCCGGATTTCGAGAGGGTTCAGGCCGGGCTGAAGGACAACCCCCCCCTTTGCACAAATTTCGTGCACCAGGCCTCTAGTAATGTATAAATGCCTTGACACCAAAAGTTGCTTTGCAAAGACTGCACACAAAACTTTCTTAATGCTTTTTCTAAAGTTTCTTCTCTGGTACAAAAACAAAACAAACAAAAAAACAGCTATTGATTCTTTTAAAAACTATCACATAGATGAACACACACTTTGTGCCAAGATTTGACAGCTGGAAGTTTTCATGAAGAAGGCTTCAAATAAAACATTTTTTAAAAGAAAAAAAAATAATAAAAAGGCTATACCACCCTCTGTTCTCCTAAAAGGTGACAGAAAATAAATTCTTTATCAATAGTCATTTGTCCAGGTTACAGCTAGGCTGCCAACCCCAGTCCACTTGCGATTTGAAATTGGCTCTCCCTGGCACCTTTTATTCATCTCATCTGCCCTTTACCTCTCACAGACCAAGGCAAAGCAAATGGAAGCTGAATAAAAAAGGAAGAATAAAGAAAGAAAACACCAGAGTGAGAGTTATTGTATGAAGCCTGTACCACAAGGAGAGAAGGGAAGTCAAAAAATTTCTATGTGAAATATAAGCAAAGTAAACATGATTTTAACCCCAAAAAACTCCTTATTAAAATAAAATTCAATTAAAAATAAAATTTCAAAGATAAGAAATTCTACCATAATATATTGATTTTCTTTGCTTCTTAATGAAAATGGTCTGAATTTTTTGGAATATTCAAACTTCACCATCTAATTACATACTCCATCAGCCTAACCCAATTAAATAATTATAAAGTGCTATGTGGAAAACTACAGAAATATACACAGACTCTTTTCACCAGTACTAATTACATCTTGATTTTTTAAACCCTAAACTATGAGCCTTCTCTATTTCCTGAGAAAATGGCAGTCTTAATCTAAAACTTATGTTCTGTTTTACACGTTTCAAAAGCAAACTGGAGGTAGCTTAGCATTTACATCAATAAAGAAATTTTAGAGATGAAATATTTAAGGCCCAAAGAGGTTAGATTATATGTTGAAGGATCTATGGCCATTGAAGACGAGAATCCAACTCAAAGATTCTTTACATTTAGCTCTCCCAAGCAAAACAGTTACGCAACCAAAACAAAAACAAGCACACGCTAAGCATCCACTGGTGGCAGGCATGTGCTTAGTGCTCACAGCAGAAAGGCATTTGCATGATCATATAACAGTAATGCTCTGTGCTGTATGCAAATTTCAGAAGTAGCACAGATGGAAAGCACTTGACTCTATCTTAGATTAAAAAGTACTGGCACATTTTTATGAATAACTGTGTACTTTAAAGGTTTTTAAAAAGTAGTACTTTTACCAAAAAAATTTATCTATGCTGTTTTGAATATTGTATGTTTTTCAGTTTATAGCTTTGAACATCTTTTTGAATCAGCACATAAGGATCTACTTGACTGTCTAGTACTGTACTGAGGCATGTGCCATAACTCAGTCATCTAGTCCCCTATGATGGCCATATGAATTACCTCTGGTTTTCTACTATTACAAAAACACTTCAATGAACATTCTTTTAACTGTTAGTGGTAGTAGTAGTTTTAATAATGATAAAAATAATGTAGTAGTATGTATATAGAAAAAAATCTAGAGGAATAAAATGTTCAAGATTGGTTTTCTCCATAGAATGGAATTATAGAAGATTTTGATTTTTCAACCTGACATCTTTCTGATATGTCTTCAGTTTTTTTAAGTGAGTATATTCATAATTAGTGCTATTTATTAATATGGGCACTATGGATAATACATGGTATTCATTAATAGCTACAATATTGCTAACCTTCATAACCACAGTAGACAATATAATTTTCAATCTTAACTACATTCATTGAAAGAAACTAGTTTGTGAAATTCCTGGAGAACCCTCAAGAACTACTTCTCACATTATTGAGAAAACAGGGCTCAGTCAGTATTCATGCAATAAAGAACCACACAAAAGATATAATGGACACTTATAACCAAGTTTGGGGAGAGGGCAACCTAGGGCTAACAAGCACAATCCAAAACCGAAAATGGCCAAGTTCATATGCTCAGCACATTCTGAAGTTCAGCCAGACACAAATAATGAGTCTTACTACAATTATTCCTCTCTAAAAATACTTAATAATTATAACAAGTCGACCAAAATCTCCCGCCTGCCAGGAAACTCACCGTTTCTGGTTTTCAGACTCTTTCTTGGCTTGCTCCAGAGCCAGCTCCTCGGCTACTCTTCTCTTCAGTTCTTCATCGGAAACTGGAATCAGTAAAGAGCAAAAGGAGATGAAATTAGTGATTTTTGAAAAACAAAACCAAGAAAATACTCACAAAAACAAAGCTGAGACTGGAGCTAAAAGGGCAAAGTTCTGGCAGCTGGCCAGGGGCTCCTTGGGACCATCTAAGCACTATGGAAAAGACCAATTAGTGCATTTCAGCAGTAACTTAATCAAGAGTTCCCTGGTGACCTAGAAATTTCCACACCTGCCAAAATTTAGAATAAACTCAAGGAGCTCCTTACTGCCAATGGGGACTGAGCTGTTAAGTACAAATTCTTTAAAAGGATGTCCTATCACTAAAGTCTGACAATGGCATATAAAGGGAAGAGACGATGTAAGGAAGGGATTTTACAGAGGAAAATTACACCAAAGCTTTCTCACTTTGATAATTAAACATTTTTTAAAAATCATTTATTACAGAGAGAAAATTATTTGTGTTTATATTCATTCTTCCATAATTTATGGGGAAAAAAAGGCATTTGTGGACATTTTGAAACCTATTTTTGGGAATACATATCATTCAAATTCAAGTGCCAGCAACTGGAGAGAGACTTCAGAACAGTGCTGAGAACTTGGCTGGAGCTTCTTACAGACCTGGTGACTTGATGTGAAACATCTGGTCTTTACAATTAGAAAATTTTGTACGATGTGTTTTGTAAAGATTCTTACAGCTATGATAGCAAACAAAATAGATAAATTTTACAGACTCCTTCAGAGCCTTCCACAAAAAAAATAAGCAGAGACTATTTCCTCTTCACTAAAACCCACTACCCAAAAGTATGACCAAGAAAGCACCAGAAACACTTAGGAGGATCTAGGAAGACACACTGGACTTATTATTTCAAACGGTAGCCTGTTAAATGGAAACCTAAGCAGCACTGTCTGCTTTGCAACAACACTCTACTTGATGATCTGAACGTTATAAGCACCTTGCCTCAGGGCAGACAAAAAGTTAATTACAACAGGATATGCACAAGCCTCTTTAAATTGTGCTGACATTGGGCAATAACAAAGAAGATATATGAGAGGTCATAAGGATGTTTTCTCTTACTGTTGGACTATCAGAAAACAACAGCATCAAAGGACATCAAGAAGGTGAAGAAAACCCACAGATAGGAGGAAATATTGGCAAATCACATAACTGACAATTAACTTGTATCCAGAAAATACAAAGAACTTTTATAACAGAACAATAAGAAGACAATTTTAAATGGGCATAGATATGAATATGCATTTTCCTAAAGAAGTGTTACAAACCACAATAAGCACATGAACAATTGCTCAACAGCATTTGTCATTTGGGAAATGCAATTAAAAACAGCAGTGATACACCAATTTGAACCCACTATAATCAATAAGACGATAACAAGTGTTAGTGAAAATGTGGAGAAACTGGAAGCTTCATACATTGCTGGTGAAATATAACATGATGCACCCACTGTAGAAAAGAGACAGTCAGGTCCTCAAAATGCTAAACAAAGTGACCACAGGACCTAGCAATTTCACTCTTAGGTATTCTATATACACAAGAAACTTGAAAATATATGTCTATACAAAAAGTTGTACATGAATATTATGGTAGCATTATTCATGGCATCCCAAAAGTGAAGACAGCTTAAATGCCCATCAGCTGATGAATGGATAAACAACTGGTGGTATATCCATTCAGTGTGATATTATTCAGCCATGGAAGTCATGAAGTACTGATAGATGCTACCACATGGATGATCCTTGAAACATCATGCTAAGTGAAAGAATGTCACAAAAGGTTGCACAACTTGCATGCTTCCACTGATATGAAATATATAGAAAAGGCAAGTCTATAGACTCAGAAAGGAGACTAGACTGGTTGCCAGGAGTGGAAGGAAGGTGAGAATGGAGAGTGACAGCTAATGGGGAAAGGATTTCTTTTTGGGGGTGTTAAAAATGTTCTAAAATTAGATAGTGAGAGAGAGCCATCTCACAACTCTGCAAATATACTAAAAACCACTAAAATGTACACTTTTATTGGTAAACTAACTGGGCAGCAGTTTTCTCAAATAGATGTTTTCAAATGGATGTTCTCGAGAGTCCCTTCAAACTATGTATTTCATGCTGCTGTTTGGCTTCGATCCTGCTTCAAAGTCTGTAGTAGAAGAGATGCACATCTCTGCTTTGAAAAGGTCACACAAAATCAAGAAAAAAAAACTAGAACAGGGAATTGTTTGCATTCAGGCAAATCTTATAACTTTTCAATATTAAAAGTTTTAGAAAACAATACAAATAAAAGTGAAATTAGTAACAGCTCAGCAAAGAGTCTGAATACTCTTTGTTTCTCTATTAGCTGAACTTTGGATAAATCAGATAACCTACCTGAGTTTTGATTTCCTCACCCAAAAGCAGGACCAGGTGAGTTACATGGGTGTCTGCCACCTCAGAAGTTCTAGATTATATAGCCCACAAGGTAATGATTTTCACCGATTTCGCATAAACAAGCAAAAATCATGACTTCATTTTTTGGAGGTGTTCAGAACTACCAACTCTGTTAGCAAAAATTGAAACAAATACTTAATCAATTAATATTATCTGATAAAACTATTCTCTGAAGTTCTACATACCAATCAGGATCAACACACAGCCAAACTGTACCTGTAAAATCATGCCACTTCCCCCAGATTGCTGCAAACTGCCACAGCAAAAATTTTCTCAGGCAAAATTCAAATTCTCAATCACAATGCAACTTAATTCCATTCAGCCCTTTAAAGCCTAGGCTTCGAAAGATGTCAGTGTACCAGGTCTAAATATGAAGCAATGAGATCAGTTTTCTAAGTGAGCTGCTAATACAGTCTCGTATCTTCACATGTTGTGCCTCTTACAAAGGGGCTTCTTACCAGGGGAAAAGCTGAAATCAGCAGTGAGTTGTTTTTTTGTTACTCCTCACCCAAGGATATTTTTTCCATTGATTTTTAGAGAGTAAAAGGGAGAGGGAGAAACAGAGAAAGACACATGGATTGGTTGCCTACCGCACACACAACTGAGTTGCATGCCCTTGACTGGAATAGAACCCACGACTCTTTAGTCTGTGGGTCGATGCTCTAACCACTGAGCACCAGCTAAGGCAGAAGTGAGCTTTTTATTATGATGTGACCAATCTGGAATGGAACAATAAGGACTCCACTACCCAAGGGGGACCAGCTGGCTGGATGGAAAGGAAGCCATGCAGGAGAGACTGCAGAGAAGCAAATTTAGCTTCAAAGTGTGTCTTCTTTCTCTATACCCTCCTGCCTATCAATCACAGTCAGCCCTGCCACCTGCTGTGGGGTGAGGTGAGAAACAGATGGAGACAACTGTGGTATCATCTAGGTAGGCCAGGTGGGGAGAAACTGGGACAGGGATGGCGGCAGAGGAAAAAAACCAGCAGCTCTGCAAGGGGTGGGGGGGCGGGGGGGAGGACACTTCCAGGTCCACTGAAGAAGGTATACCAAAGGGAAAAACGAAAAATCACACACACACACACACACACACACACACACACACACACACACATCTTTTGGGTCTCACTTCCAAGGTCACAGCTGAAAAAGTAATTTCTTTAGCTACAATTGAGAATTTAAAATAACAAAAGATAAAACATAATCGAGCATAGTGAGTTTAAAATCTAAAATAGCAAGTCAAAGTCCAGGCAGGAAAATAAACCAGTCTAGTAATGGGTTTCTAGCAAATCTAAGTTTCATGTTATTTGTTTTTAAATCAATAGAATACAGAAAGCAACAACATATTTCTTCTGGTAGGTCTGACCCCAAGTGCGCAAGGGAAAAGATATACCTTCGGGAGACCGCTATTTTAAACGGCCCTGTTCAAAACACTCTTTCCAGCTCTCAGGATATGAACATTTTCTCAAAACTGTTATTAAACTAAAAGGTCAGTGTTTCTGGATGGGCTCCTTTAAGAGAAGCACAGGAAAGGCCAACTTTGCTGATTAGCACAGTGTGTCTCCAAGCAGATCTTTAGGGACTGGCAAAGTCTGTGAAATGAGAAAAAGTAAAAATGAGAAATGTCCAAGCCATAGAAATCAGATTTGCCATGGAAATCGGCACAACCACTGCAAGCGCAGGAAGTATGGTTCTATAGCTTTTACCTACATACACTCTTTCCTTTCAAAGTGTATGAAGACAAAGGATGTTTTCTTCTCGTACATATACTTTTAAAAATCTCAGAACCCAATTTAAGTTCTGTCTCAATGGCAAATGTATCTTAATGAACGCAAACACTGGCATTTTGTCAATTAGATATAGTAGGTCGACACTGACCATAAGACATATGAGGAAAAAGTCAAGCATTGCTATTGCTTGGTTACAGCAAGTCTGCCCTAAACTCTTTATTTGAAACTATTACTGAAAATTATAAATATCTGTGTGGTTGAAAGCAGCTCATGATTTCCTAACAAAATTATGTTTGTTTGTTTAGTAAACAACATTTCTAAATGAATGTTTTGGTTAGTCCACACATTCTTTACTGAATGCCTAGCAATAATTTACCCCTCTTAGCCACATTCCAAATTTCTAAGAATTTAAATTCTCAAGACATTCTAAGAATCTATATTTCTAATTTGGGTTCAGGATCAATGAGAAACTCCTAACCTTATACTTAATTATGAGTATTCTTAGCAACTGTGAATACCACATCTTAATCCTCAGAGGAAGTGTAGCATAAATTCATTACACCTCATCTGTCTTCTGGGTTATATGATTTATGTCCAAATTTTCCATTTTCAGAAACTGGTTAAACTGGTAGAGAGGGAATGGGGGGGATGGGGAGACACTATAATATATTTAAGACAGTTCTTTGGTAAACAGAAATGACTCCAAAAAATAGAATGACTTTATGAAATGTCTCATCATCTAAAATAAAACAAAAGACTGAAAATGCAATCATGATTTGAGACTTTCATTCCCTGGAACTCAAGGGACATATCAATTTCCTTGGTAACTTTTTCCACCTA